ATGCTCCCAGTTGGATCAGGAGAACAAAATCCAATCCCAGTTGGATCAGGAAAACGAAAATTCAGTGTCTGCAGAGAGACACTGAAAAGCACCCTAAATCAGCCAAATTTCGGGGGTTGAATCCCCTCAGCAGAGAAACCCTTGGAGGAATGGATGGAGCCAGGTGCTGCTGGGCTCTCCAGGGATTTCCAGGATTTCCAGGCTCTCCCTGTTTGGCCACTGGAGAAGGGAAGCAGGGCTGGATCCGTGGCTGTCAAAGGGCGATTGTGGGGGATTGGAGCAGGGCAGGGTGGAAGGGGCTGGCCCTGGAACAGCCTCCCCACAGCTCCCCTTGGAGAACCACGAGCCTCGTTGACTTTTCACACCTCATTAAGGAGGAAAACTCACCAGGCTCCCAGTTGACATTCCCGGGATCGCGCTCCCGACCGGCAAACAGCGACTCTGTGTTCGGGCTCTCGTTATTTTGGGGCCCAGGTTCAGCTGGAAAAAGCTGCTTGACAAAACCGCCCCGAGAAATCTCCCTGAAGAGTTTTACTGTCCGAGTTAATGCTCTGATAAAATCCCCAAGTCTGGGCCTTTGGTTTTCCAGAGGGAAAACGTTCCTGCTTGGATCCGTGTGGAAGTGCAGCGCCTGGGCTGGGGAGTGTCATCTTTGTGGGCACGGGACATGGGACATGGGACATATTTGGGATTTCTGGCTCTGTGCCTGCAAAAAGCTGGATCCTGGGGGACAATCCCCAGCCTGGGATGTGCCCAGAGCTGAGTGGGCATGGAAAAATTGTGGACAAGGCCATGGAAAAGTGGTGGACAAGGCCATGGAAAAATGGTGGACAAGGCCATGGAAAAGTGGTGGACAAGACCACGGAAAAATCATGGACAAGGACGTGGAAAAATGATGGACAAAGCCATGGAAAAATGATGGACAAGGACATGAAAAATGGTGGAAAAAAACATGGAAAAGTGGTGGACAAGGCCATGAAAAAATGATGGACAAGGACATGGAAAAATGGTAGAGAAGTCCAAGGGCTGGAAATGTCTGGAAGAAGCAACTCAAGGCATGCTGTGAATGTGAAAATCCCTCCCACAGGACTTATATAAATGTCCAACTTCACCCTAATTTTGTCCTTGAGACTGTCACAGGATCCCTGCTCTGCACCATTCACGACAAAATTTTGAAACACAAAATTTAATTATAAAGGCACCGCCACAAATCCCACTTAATTCATTCTATTTCCCATTTGATTTGAGTGACACGCAGCAAAAAAAAAAAAAACCAAACTAAAAATTACAGCAAAAAAATAAAAAGATGATTTGTGTGAATGTGTTGTGGCTGCATAAAATGGCAGGTTTTCATTTGACTACTTTTTAGTTCCTGGAGTGGGAGAACTGCAAATAAAAACACCCCAGGAAGCTCCAATTCTGGGTCAAAAGCAACAGTTTATGTCACAAACCCCTCGGGGGATGACTTTTGACGCGAGAAGTAAAATGGGTAATTCGGAAAACACAATATGAGAGACCTAATGCAGATTCGGGATTGAGGAAATCAATTTTTTAAATGGAAAGCAATTTTTGGAAAGAGTTGGATCCAAGAGGAGACACACAGATTCCAGGGGGAGAGGATGGAAATGACTTTTTTTTTTTAGTGTGGGATCATGTTACTAGTGGAAAAATTGACCTGCAGGGATTGAGTTCCTCCTTTGTGTCACCGACCATCTGCCAAGACCTGATTCTTTCTGGATATTAAAGGTTCAAAATCCAAATGCTGGAAGGCCATGTTTAAACCTGAGCCTTGTGCATCGCCCAATTTCCTCCACATCCCAAATGAAAATCCTAAAATTGAGCTCATCTGGGACAGAAGTGATGCCCTTTTTGAGGACAACATTACAAATCCCTTCAAAAAACCATCATGAGGTGTCTTCAAACCTTCTCCATCAATTTATGAAGAGGCCAGACTCCAACCACTCTTGTCTCTTGGCTGCTCCAACAACTCTGGCATTCCAGGGAAATCTCAGCAGCTTTTCCTCTGTCTCGTCCTAGGATATTGCAAATTTTGGGTGTCTCAAGCCCTGCTGAAGGTCAGGAGATGCCTGGACTTGGTGTTTTGCATTGGAGCAGCTCCAGCTTGGAGCATTTTGGTGTCACAGACACCAAGCCAGGCCTTGTCTGCCTTTCCCCATTTCTCTTCCCGCCCCTCTCGGGCTGGGATTTGATCCTTTTGAGGGGAGGTGGGTGCCAGCCGAGGTTTTTCCTTGTCACAGTTTGATTCAGATGAACTTGGAGGAGAATTCCTCTCAGCAACCACCTGGAATGTGTGGAGGAGGTTGGAGTTCAGGTTGTTTTTTTTTTCACAAAGTCTTCCCTGGGTTTTGGTTTGGAAACCCCAAATTCAAATGAAAGATTAGGGACTGAGATAAAATAGATCTGAGATCCAACTCAAGCTGATTTTGCTTTCACAAACCCCAAACCATCCTCGTTTGCTCTTCACAGAAATGAGGGAGGAAACCCCCAAACTTTCATCTGACCCCTCCTCGAAATTCTTTTGATGCTCAAGATAAAATGGGAGCGAGATTCCCACAATTCTTGAGGGAAGAAGAGGCCTCAAAATAAGAGATTCTGGCCCTGGATGGACGTGACCCAGCACAGCTTGGCAGCCCAAATTCTGAAGTCATTGATCCTGGGAAAAGCAATAAATCCATTTGACAGCTCAAGAAAAGCCAGTCTGACCTTGGGCTTTGTTTTGATCCCGCTGGTGCAGCTGGAGACCTGCAGGAGCACAAAAATGGCAGCTCTGAGCCAGCAGCCAACTGGAAAGTGGGTGGAAAAAAATCCATCCTGCTGAGATGGGGAACAGGAAAATGTCTCTCCAGGGCAGCAGCATCCCTGAGATCTTTGGCTGAATTTACTCAAAATCATAAAATCATCGAATCACTGAGGCTGGAAAAAAAAATCTCCAATCTCCAGGATCATTAAGTCCAAGCTGTGCCTGATCCCCACCTTGTCCCCAGCCCTGAGTGCCACATCCAGGAATTCCTTGGACACTCCAGGGATGAGGACTCCAAACCTCCCTGGATAGTTCCAAGGCCTAACCAGCTTTTCCATGGAGAAATTCCTCCTGATGTCCAACCTGAGCCTCCCCTGGTGCAGATTTGGGCTTTTTCCTCTCCTCCTGCCCCCGTTCCCTGGAGCAGAGCCTGACCCCCCCGGCTGTCCCCTCCTGGCAGGAGCTGTGCAGAGCCAGAAGGGCCCCCCTGAGCCTCCTTTTCTCCAGGATAATTCCCCTTCCAGCTGCCTTTCCACAGGCAGGGAAAAGCTGGGAAAACAGCTCTGTCCCCTGTCAGAAACCCATGGAGTGTCCAATTGGCTCCGGTGGGATGGAAAACGCAACATCTCCCAACAGGAACTGTTTACTTCTTCCTCCCACCACCCTGGGCTGTAACATCAGCAGCCAGCTCGGATTTTGGAAGTTCTCAGAAGCTCTGGAAGCTGCACAGGGTTTAGGGCTGAACCTCACCAGGCTAAAGGCTCGCAGGCCTCCAGGTCAAGGCCTTTTAAGGACTCTTTTATTGCAGCTTTGACAAATCCATTAAAAAAAAAAAAAAAAAGGAAAACAATCCTCCTGAAGATTGCACCTTTGAAACGACAGCTACCTACAAAGTTTCACCACAGTAGTTCAAAGTGTTGGAAAAGACACTTTTACATTTAGCAGGGAACAGCAGGTTTTAATCTATGGTGAGGTTTTTTTCTCCCCAGCATGTTCCGAGTCTGTTCCATGAGTGTTATCTGTCCGGTTTCCAGGTTTTTATAATCCACTGGGGCCTGTGTAAATCTCAGGATTTCCTCTGCAGACTCGGCTCATGTTCCACAGCTGTGCTGTAGCACATGTGTGAGGAAATTAGAAATGAAATCAGCTGATCCAGCGTGGATTAGGACAAGGAGAGAGCGACCCAAGCCTCCACAGCCTGTCCCGGGGGTCAGTGCCACCCTCCGGAGCGTGGCCGTGGGTGGGTCAGTGTCCCCTCACAGGAGGAGTGACATCTGCCCCACTCAGGGGACACCTGAGGCCTTTCCTCAGAAGGTGGGAGACCCTGGAACAGATTCCCAGAGCATCTGTGGCTGCTCCATCCCTGGAAGTGTCCAAGGCCAGGCTGGATGGGGCTTGGAGCAACCTGGGATAGTGGAAGGTGTCGCTGCCCATGGTGGGGGGTTGAAACTTCGATGATGTTTAAAATTTCCTCCCAACCCAAACCATTCCAGGATTTCATGGTTTTCTGATGGTGTTCCCCATCTCTTGCTTGTCCAATTGCAGGAAATTTGCACCATCAGGAGGTGTCAGCTTGGAGGAAGCCACGTGTGGTTCCATAAATGCTTTGAACTGGATTCACTGTGTCCATCTGTTCCTGCTGCGCTTGGTTCCTGCAAATCTCCTCCAGCTGGGACCAACAGCAGGGAATGGACCTTTCAGGATGCTCAGAAAGGGCAGGGTGATGTTTGATCCCAAAAGCTGCCAATATCCCCCAAATTCGCTGCCAGCAGCAGCCAGGACCTTTCAGGATACGCACAAAGGGCAGAGCAATGCTCAGCCCCAACATCTGTCCATGGCAGACACTTCTTGGGATGTTGGGAGATCCTCTGTCCCAGCATCTGTCCATGGCAGACATTCCATGTTCCACGTGCTCCATGTGCTCCATGTGCTCCATGTTCTTCATGTGCTCCATGGACTCCACAGTCTCTGTGTGCTCCACATGTTCCATATGCTCCATGTGCTCCATGGTCTCCACGTTCTCCATGTGTTTCATGTTCTCCACATGCTCCACAGGTTCCATGTGCTCCATGAACTCCATAGTTTCCATGTGCTCCATGTTCTCCATGTGCTCCACGTTCTCCATGTGCTCCACGTACTCCACATGCTCCACATGTTCCATGTGCTCCATGAACGCCATGGTTTCTGTGTGTTCCATGGTTTCCATGCACTCCATGTACTCCATGTGCTCCATGTTCTCCACATGCTCCACAGGTTCCATGTGCTCCACGCTCTCCATGGGCTCTGGCAGAGGGGGCAGGGCCGAGCCCTGGGGCTCTGGGGTTTATTTGATGACCCCAGAGCTGTCAGCGGGTGTGGGGCCGTATCAAAGCCGGGCTTAGCGTGGGCTCAGACTGAGGGGCCAGGCAGGGTTTAAGTGAAGCCTGAGGGCTCCAGCAGTTCAGGGCTGAGCCTTTCCCTGCCAGCAAATCCCACTTCAGAAAGATTCCCCCCACACAGCCAACTTTTGGCCCTGGAGATGGGTTTGCCATGAAATCCCCACGCCAGGTGAGTTCTACCTGCTTGAAGCTCTTCTCCAAGTGCTCTGGGCCCAGGATGGTCAGCAGGGAGGGTCACTCCTTCCCTCAGAAGGATCCAGGCTCATCCCAGGAACCTGCTGTGGGATTTCTCAAGCCAAACCATTGTTTCATCTTTTTTTTTTTATTTTGGCTATTTTTTTCCCGCTGACAGTGACAAGGAGGCCAGATTCCCAGTTGCAGGACCATTCTCCTCTTCTATTAGTGGTGGGAAACCTGGCAAAACTCCCCAGGCTTCCCAAAGCTGGGAACACCAGGAAAGGGAAGGGAATTAAGGTAATTGCAGTGTTGAGCAGGTCAGAAGTGGTGCTGCAAAAAGTGTGGGCAGCTGTGGGTGAACCGTGAAGTTTAATCACCCCGAGCAGGTAAACTCAACCAACTCCTCACCTGAATGGTTCCTCCCTTTTCCAGCACCTGGAGGATCACAAACATCCCTTTATCTCCGGATTGTCTCATGTGGAATTGGCAGCTGGTCTGGCTCCAAACGTCTGTGTGAAGTTGGAATTCCTGAAAGACTTTTCAAGGGGTGAGCGCTGCATTCCACGGTCTGGCAGCACCCCTGGCCCCGCTCCTGGAGCAGGAGACAAAAGGGAATGAGGCTTGGAGAGCGAGTTCCCGGTGAGATCCGTGGATGTGACACCCCTGTGCCTGGAAAACCCCGCTCCTTTTCCCTTTAAAGGGCTTGGAGGAGCAAAAGAACGGGAATCTAGCCCAGCTTTCCTGCATATTCAAGCAGCATTTCTCCCTCTAGGCCACGGGCTCGTGCGCAGGGAAGCAGAACAAAGGGAAAACACAACTGCTGTGAACTGGGATGAACTTCCAGCCAAAGTTAGGAGAAGGAATTCCAGCTTTTGGGAGCTTCTTGGTGTCCTGACTCTTGGTCAGCTCAGCTTTACGTGGACTCATAGTCAATAAATTCCTACCCTGAATTCCTGGTGGGCTCTGGTGCCAGTTTGGAAAGGGTGGTGGAGCTGGTAGGACACTCCTATGTCCAGCTGTTCCTGGCTTAGGAATCTGGTTGGAATAAGGTTTATCATCCCCATGCTGTCACCTGGGGTTGAGGTGAAGGTGCCTCCAGCAGGGAATGTTTGGTTTCTCCCTGGGCAAACACAGCAATTCCATGTAAATGCTGCTCCAGACAGTAAAATTCTGAGGAAACAGAGCTGGACTTAATCCTTAACCAACATTCCTGCTCGTGTGGAGAAGGATCTCCCAAGGGAATTTCCTAAAATCTTGGTAAGAAACAACCCTGAGCTCCAGAGCTTGGTTTCTTACACAGATTTCTTGCCCTTCTGAGGCTTTGATGTCTCAGGAGGTGCAAACTCTGCCTTCATTTCCCTCCCTGATGAAGCACCTGCAATAATTGTATTTTCTGGCTCTTAGAGGGATTTTTGAGGAGTGCTGCATTGGGATCTTGCTCTGGGAAGTCCGAAAGCAGGTCTGGAGCAGGGAAAGCTTGACAGAAGTGGCTGTGAGCTTCCCAAAAGCTGGGATGGAGAGTCTGGGCAGTGTGTGGAGCTTCACCTGCTGCTGGAAGCCAGGGAGGGGCTGGAAAACTCCTGGAATTGGGATTTTTGGGTGCTTTTGCATCACCCACAAGGCTCTGGGCACAGCTGTGAGATGTGGGATTGGGACATCCATGGGGGAAAAAAATCCCTCTTGGAGCTGCAGAAGCTTTCAACAGCTTTGCTAAGCCAGGGCTAGCATCCGTGGAAAAAGTTTGGCGAGATTTCCCACTTTCCCTCCACCTGTTTGGCTCTTTGGCCCTGGTAGGGTGAGGAGCCTCCATGCATGCCGTTGGATTTATGGAATTTTGGTGGTTCACGTGCAATCCCGGGACACTGAGGAGGGTCTGGAGTGCACGACCCCCTAACAGGGCTCTTCCTGCCACCTCTGCTCCATGGGAGGCCCAGTCCATCCCCATCCCTGCCCCGTGGCCCCATCCCAGCGGCGGATCCGCGTTCCGCATCCCGAGGATCCCGGCTCGCTCCGTGCTTCTTGTTCCTCCCAAACCACCCAGACTGCGGACAGATGTCCTCCCTCAGATCCAGCTGTTCCGGGGGAGGGAATTGCAGCTCCCAGCTGTTTGTCCCTGCTCCCCTGCCAGCGGGGCCGCCGGGGTCAGCGCTCCCTCATCCATCTCTGTCCGGAGATTCCGTTAGCGCGGACCTGCTGCTCATTCCCTCCTGGAATTCAGTTTGGGCTTGTCCAAAGGAGCTGGGGTGGAAAGAACCTTGGGAAAACTCCTTCCTTCCATCCCAATATCAGCATCCTGCAGGACAGGATCGGGCTGACACCACTGAGCTTCCCGGTGCATCTTTTTGGTGCCAAAAATTCCTTGGGGCAACTCGTTGTGGTGCAGAATTCCTGCTCATCCCTCCCCCTGTCCTGTCTTTCCCTGCATTCCCATCCCGAGGGAAGCTCGGGGCAGTGGATCCCCGGCCAGGAGCCTGCAGATTCTTAGGATTAATCCCATCCTGCCCCCTCCCTGGGCAAGGCAGGGATCCCCCTTATCCTGGCTTCTCCCTGCTCTATAAAACAGAAATGACGATCCCGATTTTTCCCACCTCCCTCGAGGACTACTGGATAATGCTTTGAAAACACTCGGGGGGTGAAAACCCAATTATTGGAAAATCAAAACAATCCCAGCCCTCCCCGGGAGTGGGATTTGTGATTCCCAATAAAGCAAATGTGATTCCCAACAAAGCAGGAGCCACTAAAATCTTGGGAAATTTGTGTGAGTGCATCCAAGTGGGCAGGAGCAGCAGTTTGGGCTCAGCTTAACTTGATTCATGTGGGTTTTGACTCAGATTAGCTGAGCTTAAAGGGAACAAGGCTCCTATTTCTGCTCCCAGTTCCTAAGCTTGGGTGGGATTTTTTCCCTACTTTGTTACTCTCCCTCTTTTCCTTCCTCAAACGACCTCTCCTGGATCCTCATTATGTTCTGGAAGTTTGGGGTGTGCTGCTTTTCATCTCCAGCCCCAAAGTGTGGCTCATCTTCCTTTCTTTCAAACCAAAAGCCAAACTTTGGGAAAAATTCCCTGTTTTCCCCGTTTGTTTTATTTTTCCCCCAGACATGCACAATGCATTCCCCCTGCAGAAAAGCAGCAACACATCTGGAGAGTGTTTTCCAAGGAATTATCGGAACAGTGTCCTCAGCTTCGTATTTTTATGTGCCACACATTAAAAATCACTGTGGGGAGGAGGGAACCCATGAGAAATATTAAAAAAAAAAAACAGCAATTAAAAAAACAATAAAGATATGTTATATCTATAATTATTATAAAAACAATTATTATATTAAAAAATAAAATAAAGTTTAGTTTCCATTTGGGAAGGATGGGAACTGGATCTTATGGAGGAGTTTGCAGTTGGAAAAGCTGTGATTTGGTGATTTATTCCTGATTTTTTTCCCTGGGGAGTGTCCTCAGGGAGGAGGGAAACATTTGGGACCAAAGGGGATCAGTGTTTTAGGCTGGGCTGAGGATCCTGGGGAAAAGCAGAGCGTGGATGGGCAGGGATTGGGATTTTGCCTCGTGTGGCTCTGTCCCGAGATTCCGAGTCTCACAGATCCTCTGGGAACGGATCTTGGGAAAATCTTGGTGATTTCAGAGGTTGCTGTACTTCAAACATTTTTGGGAATTGTGTAGAAGGGATTTGACACTCAAAATGTGATTTATGGATCCTGGCTGTCCACAGAAGGGATGCAGGGATATTCTGGATGCACGTGGGCACAGATATCCCTAATTTTGGGACACTCCAAACATGGAGGTGCTGTTCCAGATGGAAAAACAATTCCTGAGGAGCCCAAACAAGCAATAAACTCCCAAAAAATGCTCTCAGTAAATAAATCGTGACCCCAAATCTGTTGCTTCCTGCCCTTCCTTTCCATGCATCCCTTGATGAGCTGCACTTGGCAGGTTCAAAAGCACCTGAATTCCTTTATGGGTTCGTTCCAAGGGGATATAAAGCATTCCCAGAAACCAATGGGAAGAAGGATCCTAAAAGCCATGGTGACAGCTGCATTCCAAAGGCAGAGAGACAAAGGAATGGTAGAATAATCTGGAGTGAAATAAAGATTTTAATAGGAAAACGAAGTCTTCGGAGAGTGAACATGATCCAAAGAAAACCAGACCTTTATTTGGGAATGTGGGAGATGGAGGGAAAAAAAATCCTCTCATTTTTTCCCCCCTAAAGCAAATTGCTCCTCATGGAGCAGTTTCAGATTTGCTGTTAAATTATTAAACTCCTTCTCCGGGGAGAAGAGATCAAATAAACATCCAGCATTCCATGGTTTTTGTGTTTCATAACTGAAGGAGGTTTGGGTGAGTGGAAAAGCAGCCTGGCCGTGGATAACCAGACAAATGAATACAATCATCGGATGTTTGGGAATGCTGAGGAGATGTGAAGCCCTCGAGAAATCAGCAGCTTAAAACAACAGGGAAAAAAAAATCATTTTATTGGGATCTGGAGGCCAAGATTTTCCCAGTCTGGAGGAGGTTGTGTCCTGAGTTGGATGGAGGAGGTGGGGCATTTGTCTGGGCTGGAGCAAGGATAAAAGGGACAAAAAGATGGGAATGGATCGAGGATTGTGTCATGGATCCGAGCAGGAAGAGCCAAGGAAGGAGAGTCCAGCAGGAATGGGATCCTTGAGGGATAGTGTGGAAAATCTCCCCAGGACCAAGAGCTGGAGGAAAACCCTCTGGCATTCAGGGATGGCAGATATTCCATGGATGGGAGCTATTTCATGGATGGGAAATATTCCATGGATGGGAGCTATTCCATGGATGGGAGCTATTCCATGGATGGGAGCTATTCCATGGATGGGAAATATTCCATGGATGGGAGCTATTCCATGGATGGGAGCTCTTCCATGGATGGGAGATATTCCATGCCCTAATCCCAGCATTCTCACCCTTTTCCCAGCCTAAATTGGCTCTTCCCAATCTCGTTTTCATGCCTGGAGTTTGCCAGTCTTGGAAGTCAGGGAGAAGATCCAGGAGTGCTGCAGTGGGTGCTGAAGTGAGCCACCCATGCAGGTGGAATTCCTGCTCCAGGAATGTGAGGGATGATGGAAGGAGGGAATGATGGATGATTTTCCCACCTCTTTTTCACCTGGAATTAGGCCTGGATGTCCCCACACAAAAATCAGCCATGGGAGAGCTTTGAGATCTCAGTTTTCCTTATCAGAAGCCATCCCAAAGCAGAGATTCCCAAGGAAAGGAACCTGATTTCACCATCCCAGGATTTCCTTCCCAATGGCTCAATCAGATCTGTGCAAATCCATAGGAATTTGGGGTTTCCTGGATGCATTCCCGAAGGAAAATGCAATCCCACATCGTTGGAAATTTGCTTTTTCAAAGAGGGTTCGGATGTTCAGCTTGATTTCCATTAGCAACAGGGAAATTTTCCTGGATCTTGATGGAAACTAGCCCCAAAATAATGGAGGTAGGATGTGGGAAATTCAGGTTTTTCTCTTCAAACAGCGGAAATTTTATCCCTTCTGCTGATCCAGAGGATCCATCAATCCATATCTTTTTAGGGAAAAGCCTTTTCTGAGCTGTCCACACTCCAGGATTTTATGGTTTTCCTCTTTTTCTGTCAGGTGAGTCAGGGTCAGCACCAGCACTTAGCCAATTTGGAATAAATTTTCCACAAAATTCCCTTTCTCCTTTGTTTTCCACTATCAGGAAATTCTCTTTTCATGGATATGCAACCAGGAAAAGGAAACACAGAGGGAAAAAGCATTGATCTGGAAGGAATCTTTGAGTTTTGGCTCCCCAAATATTGAGATAAAAATCAGGGTAATGGGATGGAAAAGGAAATTTTCCACGGCTCGTAGGCTGAGTCGAACAGATTGTGTGAAAAGTCCTGGGATGAAGCAGCAATTTTCGATCTGGAATCAATCCTGGCAGGAAGTGGAAACATT